TTGGAGGGTACCTTACTGGTGCTTCTGTGTATTGTTCATATATACTTATAAAACTTTTAGAGGGCATGAGAAAATTTCTGTTATTTAGAAAATGAAGAAAATGGTCCTCACACAGGAGGACTTGGTGGAAATGCTTGGAAACAAAGGGGCATGGCAGGGTCAGGTGACTGCAGCAAGTCAGGCGGGCGACAGCTCTCTGTACTCTGTATGACTGACAGCAGCAGTCTCTCAGTTGGGTCTCATTTATGCATCTTGTGCCCGGCTCTTTCATTTTGTACCTCAACCTTTTTTTTCCCCACATTTCTTTTTTCTTTCTTAGTGTCCATAATAGGGATTCAAAGTATAAGAATCTGGTGATTAGAATGTCTAAAATTCTTCCCTAGAATTTTGCAGTTTTTTTTTGTTTTTTTTGAGATGCGGTTTTGCTCTTGTTGCCCAGGGTGGAGTACAATGGTGCTATCTCAGCTCACTGCAACCTTCACCTCCCAGGTTCAACCGATTCTCCTGCCTCAGCCTCCTGAGTAGCTGGGATTACAGGCATCGGCCACCATGCCGGGCTAATTTTGTGTTTTTAGTAGAGGTGGGGTTTCACCATGTTGGTCAGGCTGGTCTCAAACTCCTGACCTCAGGTTATCTGCCTGCCTCAGTGTCCCACAGTGCTGGCATTGTAGTCATGAGACACCATGCCCAGCCTGCAGTTATTTTTTTATTACTGTCTTATTTATGACTAGTCTCCCTCCCCTGCAATAGATCAGTGACTTTCCTTCTATCTAAACTTCTGAAAACCTTCCAGAGACTTTAACTGTGAGGCAGTCTGGGTCCTTTTAGCAAGAATGTATGTTTACAGCAGAGCTTTTTAATTAAAGTTTGAAAAACTATTCTAATTTTTCTCTATAAATATATTTACATTCTGCTTATATACTCAGACACATAGGAAACTTCAAATGAACTGCCGTGAGAATCTGGTTCGTTTTAAAAGCCTTTGTGCGCTAGTGGGCAGGAGAGAAAAGAACTGCAGTTTTGCTGTTTGTTTCATTGACCCTTGTTTTAAGCCTATAGCGCCCAGTATTCCCAGGCAGTCTCCCCTCCAAGTACTAACCAGGCCCAACACTGCTTAGCTTCTGAGATCAGACAAGATCAGGCACATTCAGGGAAGCATGGTTGTAGGCTTTCTTAATTCTTAAAGTTCATTTGGAATCATGAGAGTAGCAAAGAAAAAAAAAATAGAAAGGAGATTTTACTACCACTATTAATAAAAACATAAGGTAATGATTAAAACAATATAGTCTTGGTATAGGAAAGGAAAGATGGGGCGAGAGTCTACAAACAGACCCATTTATAGATGGGATTCAGGGTAAAATCAGCATTTCATATCAATGAGGGAAAAAAATTCATGGTGTTGGGACAGCTGATTAGCCAATTGGAAAAAGACAAAGCTAAAAATTCCATCTCCTAAAATATATCAAAATAAATTTCAGGTCAATTAAAGATATAAAGGGAATTTTAAAATAGAAAACAAGGATAATTATATATGCACTCTTTTTTTCTTTTTTTTTTTTTGAGACTGGCTCTGTCACCTAAGCTGCAGTTCAGTGGGACAATCTCGGCTCACTGCGGCTCCTGGGCCCAAGCAGTCCTTTCACCTCAGCTTTCTGAGTAGCTGGAACCACAGACACATGCCATCATGCCCAGCTAATATTTGGGTTTTTGGTAGAGACAGGGTTTTCCCATGTTGTCTAGGCTGGTCTTAAACTCCTGGGCTCAAGTGATCGCCTGCCTCGGCCTCCCAAAGTGCAGGGATTACAGGCATGAGCTACTGTGCCTGGCTTGTATGTATTTTTGAGATATGGATAAATTCTTCGAAGAGGCCGTAATATATAGATTTCATTACTAAGAGATTTAAAACTATGTTAAAGACAAAGGCAAAATTACAGGCAAAAGATGAAATGGGAAGAAAATATTTGCGGCATGCAGTATAACACACAATAGGCAGTGTTCTTGGCATTCCTCAGTTTCCTCAGATGTAATATTCCAACTGTTACCTCCTTCCAAGGTAGATAGTGAAGATTGAATGCAGTGTGATATGTATAAGGTCTCTATCCTGGAAGACACTTAGCAATATGTATTCCTTGTTGTGTTCCCATCCCTCTCCAAGCTAGCCAATTTCCCTGGGTGGAGTGAAGACAAAGCTTTACTTCACAAAATGGCAGATATTTTTAAATGAATGTATTTTCTGTAAATTTAAAATGAACTTCAATGCAATGTGTTTTGTGGGCAGTCTGGAGAAAGATGCGTCTGTGCTAAGGGAGGCCTAGCACTCTCAAGAAAAAATACTTCTTGGAGATTGTGCTTTATTTTTGCTTGAATTGATATAACAGCTCTACCTAATGACATTCAGCGATTATACACAACGACCAGCACAGTTCCTGCTATATATAATAGGTGCTTGTTCGGTTCCCACCTTTATTCTCTCCCTGGTAGCACATACATGTTCTGTCTCTAAATTGTTGATAATGAGCATAAAATAGATCTTTTACTTAAATAGTGGCAGTATTACCCAGTGACTAGGTCTTTCACACACAAGTGACTAGAGCACATTAGTAGAATACATCTTTTTCCTGCTTAGGCACCTACAACTGTATTCACGCATGCCAGATGGCATATTCCACACGCAGCATCTTCCTTACTTCTGCTTTTAGCCAGTGACATTTTAACCGGTATCTTTTGTGAACTGGACATGGTGACAATTTAATGTTCCCCCTATATGAGTATTCATTTCAGGGATAATTAGATTGCCATGACAGTTAGCTAATGTATTCTATTGTTTCTTAGGAATCTGTTATTGAGATCTGTTTTTCCATTACACCACTAACTGCATTCAGCAGTATAATGTTAAAAACTATCGTTAAACACATCCTTCCATCTTATTAGTATGGTGAAAGTAAAACTTACTAATGAGATTGCAGGGCATATGATTGTCAACCTCTACACACCTCTCCAGTCTACTGCTTATTTTGTTTATTTATTTTAATTTAATTTTTTTTTTTGAGGCGGAGTTTTGTTCTTGTTTCCAAGGCTGGAGTGCAATGGTGCAATCTCGGCTCACCACAACTTCTGCCTCCCAGGTTGAAGCACTTCTCCCTCAGCTTCCTGAGTAGCTGGGATTACAGGCATGTACCACCATGCGTGGCTAATTTTATATTTTTAGTAGAGATGGGGTTTCACCATGTTGGTCAGGTTGGTCTGGAACTCATGACCACAGGTGATCTGCCTGCCTTGGCCTCCCAAAGTGCTGAGATTACAGATGTGAGCCACCGAGCCCAGCCAATAATTTAATTTTAAATAAAACCAACTCAATTGAATTAAGATCCCCTCCATCTTGGTGGCCAGGGAAGACCTCTCTGAGAATAAGTGCCTAGTTGCATTTTACATAAATTGATAAAGGCCAATCACCATTTTAGGCAAATAAAAATGAGATATTGGTTTCATTCACTCTTAGGGAAATGTATGCTTGCTGATAATGAAAACACATTAGTTTTTGAGGAACTTACATTTTAACAGACATCAGGAAATCTCTTACTGGGCAAGGATTGGATTGAACTTTTTTCCCAGGCTGTGCTATCCAGTTATTAGAAAACTAAGGCTGGGCACAGTAGCTCACGCTTGTAATCCCAGCACTTTGGGAGGCCAAGGTGGGTAGTTCACCTGAGTTCAGGAGTTCAAGAAAAGAGGAAAACTAAAATTAATTGAGCTCTTAGGTACTATTCATAGCTTATTAAATCTTTATGTGATCTAATCTTATTAAATATTTAGCTAAGAAAGCATTATTATCCCCATTGCATAGATGAGGCATGGAGAATTTAAGTGATACTTTCAGGGCCCTACCTAACAATGATGATTTGAGCTCAGGTCTGTCAGGTCTCAGATGTCATTCTTTGTCTTACACTATTCTGAACCAAGAAGTGCAAATTGTGGCAAAATGCAAGGGACTCGGCCATTTGAGGAAACAACTTTGTCTTTTCCATTGCACCTTTTGGCCTGTAGTCCATCTGAAAAACAGTGGTATTCTGTATTCATTAGTAGTGAGTAATGGAAAGAGAAAAGGTCAAAATAAGATTGTGGGCCACTTGACGGGGCTGTCAACACCAGTGAAAGAAGTAGAACACAATGTTCACACTGAGAAGAGATGAGCTGAGGGAGGTGCGGAGACCTGCTGTAGGGTGGCTCTGGACATCCGGGCCTAAGCCAAGGGCAGGACTGGGGACCTGTCTTTTTTTTGTCTTTCAGCACAAGCTTTGAACACCCAACATGTGCTGGACCCCCTTCTAGGCCAGGGGAACAGCAGGCAGTTTCTGTTCTGCCAGAATTTACATTCTAGTCAGCAACATATGTAAGAGAAAGATTTTCAGATAAAAGTAAATACTCTGAAGATGATCAGGATGGGGGTTGCTTAGACTTGGTGGCCAGGGAAGACCTCTCAGAGAAGCAAACTTTGAGTCTGAAGCAGAACATGCCAGATAGTGGGAGTAGCGATTACAGGGGCAAAGACCTGAATGAGCTTAATGTCTTCAGGAGACAGAAGTACAGCCAGGGCAGCTGGAAAGAGCAGTGGTAAGATCATGCAGGGACCTGCAGCTGGTGGCAAGTAATTCGGACTTTATTCTAAAGGCAGTGAAATCTCTTTGGAAGGTTTTAATTAGGGGAACAACATGATCTTCATGTGCCAAGAATATGAATCTGGATGCTGTGGAGGGGGGCCGTAGAGGGCTCAGAACAGGGAGGCTGTCACAGGAGGCAGGAAGGAGACACCACAGGCTGGTACCAGGAAGGCAGTAGGAAAAAGTGGAATAGAAGGTGACCACCTTCATCTCCAGAAACGCTCTAGATTTGGATTTGGGTGAAACTAAATTAGTGGTCCCTCATATCTGTCAGTGTTTACCAAATTATAAATTTTTTAAAAAGTCCTGAGTATCTGTTTAACATATTTAAAAATAATAATGGCGATAATTTTCTATAGCACATATACTAAAATTGGAACAATGCTGAGATTAGCATGACCCCTGTCCAAGGATGACACAAATTTATGAAGCCTTCCATAAAAACAAACAAAAAAACACTATCTTGACATAAATACTTTTAAGTTTTTTGTGAAAAATAACTGTATTTTCCAAAACAAAAAATTTAGCGAGAAGAGGCATCATTTTTAATTTTTGCACGTCACTTTAAGGTCTGATTTCCTGAAAGTCAGCTAGATTCTTGCATCTGCTTCTGGCTCCAGTCTTGTGCCATCACATGTCTTATAGCCGCTGGAGAGAACACAGATGAGGCAGATAATACCGCATTCTTATTATGAAGTGGTTTTGACCTTAGACCTCCTACAAGGGCCTTGGGGATCCCAGGATCCCCAGACCATCCTTTGAGAACTGCCATGAAGAGAGAGGTCATCAGATAGCCAGGCAGAGAATGACAGTGTATTGGCTGCTTGGAAGTCCTTCCACCCATATTGCTTGTGCTGTCGTTTGTTCCTGTGTATGCCGGGTTAGGAGTGGGGTGGAGGGACAGTGAGGAAACAAGCTGAGTGAGCTGTTTGTCAGTGCCTTGCTGCTGCACACAAGCTCATGACAGGGAGGGGATTATGTTTCTGCTCCCACACTACACAAGAGGACCCCTCCTCGTCTGTGTCTGCTGGCAGCAGCAGTGAGAGCTGAAGCAGAATATTTGGTGTTTGGTTATAAATATAATTTTTCACCTTCATATTTAAAAAGAAATGTAACCCCATTTTACTACTGGCTACCTTTTGGTCACTACCTGCTATGCGCCAGTCTCATGGGAGTCCCTTCAGAGCCAATAACACATGGCTCTTTGGGTGGTGTCAGTGTTTGGCAGTGTATTATTTTAACAGAAAGCCATTTTCATTTCCATTTAAGTGTGATTATATTGAACTGGGGCCAATTTTCTGTGCCATTTCTACAGCTTCCCCCATACAGTAAAACATGTTATTATAAGAGGTCAGTGCAAACATAGAGCTCTAGAATATCACTTCATCAAAGATGACTGAGAAACTCGTATTTCATTAGGTAAACAAAATCAGCATTGCTCCACACTTTTCACTACATATATTTTTCTCAATTTAAATATGATTATTTAATTTTACAGGAAGAAACTCCAGTGAGCAACAGTTTCTGTTGTTATAGCTGTTAACATCATTCTTCAGATATATAGGATTTTTAAGGAAGAAATACGGAAACATTCATAAAATGGTGGATCACGAGGTCAAAAGATTGAGACCATCCTGGTCAACATGGTGAAACCCCGTCTCTACTAAAAGTACAAAAAATTAGCTGGGCATGGTGGCGTGTGCCTGTAATCTCAGCTACTCAGGAGGCTGAGGCAGGAGAATTGCCTGAACCCAGGGGGCGGAGGTTGCGGTGAGCCGAGATCACGCCATTGCACTCCAGCCTGGGTAACAAGAGCGAAACTTGGTCTCAAAAAAAAGTTTTATTTTTTATTGATTTAAACCAGTTTGTAACATTCGTATTTTCTCAGATTTTAAAAAAATCTAAGACATTCTAATGAATCATTTATATTAAAAATATATGACCATTTTGTTGGTAACTTAAGAGCATTAATTTTTGAGGTAAAAAGAGATCAATCTGTAAAATAGTTTGACAATAATGTGAAACTATTTGTAATGAGCATTTTCTGCTTGCTCTATTTTCAGGCCTTCTTCTTGGTCTATGCTCTGGGATGTTTAAGTATTTACTATGAGAAGGTAAGATGCTTTGTTTTATAATACAACCCAAATTATAAAATTTCCCTGTTGTTAAAAGCAGTTTGTACTAATTTCTGTATTGCATTAATACAAATGTTTCTCTTACTGAATAAAATAGGAGTGGAGTTTTTCTCTTAAGTTTTGGATTTGGGTCCTGAAGTAGGACTGTTTGAGCAAAAGGCATCTTTGACCCTTTCAGATTGCATTTCATTCCTCGAGACTAGGAGAGGTACAGTATCTTACACTGTATAATGATTAGGAAATCTGTGTCAGAACAGTATTAAAAATGAACAAAAATAAAACCTACCAGTATTTGGCACCTACTATGTATGGTAAAAGCTCTATGTTAGGTATTTTACATGCTGTATTTCCAGTCCTTACCTCTACCTGGTAAGAATATACAGATAAGGTAACTGAGGCTCAGAGAAAATAAGTAATGTACCCAAAGTTACACAGCTAGTCTGGTTAGAATAAGTATTCAAACCAATGTCCAAGTAACTCTGAAGTCCGTGACTTGGTGCTATAGCCTGCTACCTTTAGAAGAGAGATAGTTGTGAAAGAAAGTGATACCATTGCTTGCTTCCAGCAGAGGAACTGGGGGGCTAGGGACACAGGAAGGAGGAAGACTTTTCACTGGACATTTTTTGTACTTTCTGAATTTCAAACCACATGTTTATATAGTATCTATGCAAAATAATGCAAATAAAATGGAAAAGTAAACAACAGTACATGGAGCAGAAAAAGTATATTCTGTTTGGCTCTTGAGAGCCACGTAATTTTATCATTCACCAAGTTCTAATTGCATAAACCTTGTTTTTGGGTATTCCAGTAGTTTGGAAGCAGTGTCTGCCTGACAAATGGTTCATTTTCCCAGATGGCAGCCATTCTTAGTCCCACCTTGCTTCCTCTCATGAGCCTTAGCTGAAATTTATCAGAATGTTACAGTTGTGACATAAAAGCCTCAACATCTCAACAACATTGGGCTGTGTTGGAAATTCAACCTTCTCTATGAGACTACTGCTTGTTAGAGGAGGGCGCTGAGTGTTTACTTACAGTGGGATCTCAAGGTCACACAGGTAGGGAATTTTTGCATTAGGAACAACTGCAAAAAAAAAAAAAAAAAAAAAAAAAAAACTCTAGCCTATTTATGGTATTATAATCTTAGGCTGGGACAAACTGAGCCAGTCTCATGAGTGACTGAGCCTTAAACCAGCGAGAATGTATTGTTTCAGTAACTACTGAAATGAAGCAAAAATTTTCCAAACTTACCTAGTTATTTTATAATCATTGTATTTTTGGTAATGATATGTCAGAATATTCTCGAGACCAAACCATTTGTATGCTCTTTGACTTCCACATTAAAAACAAAATTCTCTTTTAAGCAGTGAATTATTAGTTTGTATCATCAGATAACAAATTCTCTAGTTTCAAACATTAAATGGAGGATCTTTTTTTTTTATTTTATTTATTTATTTTTTTTTTTAAGATGTGGTTTCACCATGGCCAGGATGGTCTGGATCTCCTGACCTCATGATCCGCCCACCTCGGCCTCCCAAAGTGATGGAGGATCTTTTTTTAAGTTTTACTACAAAATTATTTTTTGTTTTTCTGAACGTGACCTGACGTAGAGTAGGTACTCTTAAGGATCTGTGAAATGTTGTCACGTGCTGCCCTCCAGCCTTGGTGGGCTTGTTACAGTGAGCCCCCTGCATGCACTGATTCCTCTGCCTGGAATGTCCTTCCTAGCCCATCACCACCCCCTCCACAGCCTCCAGCCCATTTCTTCCCTTCTTCTCATCCTCAAATGCTACCTTTTCTAAGTCCTCTGGAGCAGTGCTGCGCAATAGAAGGACAGTGAGTGCCTCAGATTGGAGCCATGTATTATAATTTTACATTTTCTGGTAGCCACATTAAAAACATTTTGTTTTTAAAGCAGGCAGGAATTTAATACTATATTACATAGTTTATTTGACCCAACATATTCAAAGTTACTGAAATCATTTATATTTTTTTTTTTCATACTGAGTAGGAAGTCAGTGTATTTTTTACACTTAGAGCCCCTCTCAGTTCAGACTAGCTACTTACGGCTGGCAGCTGCCACATTGGACAGTGCAGGGCTAGACTTTCTTGCTAAATTGCTCTGCTGGGAGGTGAGCCAAGATTGTGCCACTGCACTCCAGCCTGGGTGACAGAGTGAGACTCTGTCTCAAAAGTAAAATAAATAAATTGCTCTGCTGGGGGAACTGTTTTATTTGCTGCTTCAGCTCCACACTTAGTGTCGATGTTGATGCACTGGCTGAATGGAGAGTGAATGCATACATAGTAATGCTTTTTGCTTTTTGCAAATAACTTTAGGAGCCTTTAACGATAGTGAAGCTCTGGAAAGCTTTCACTGTAGTTCAGCCCACATTCAGAACCACCTACATGGCCTACCATTACTTCCGAAGCAAAGGTTGGGTGCCCAAAGTGGGACTCAAGTACGGGACAGATTTATGTAAGTAATTCTTGGTGTGGTATGTGTGAAAACAGAGTTTGTATCAGATTCACCCCAGAACATGTGTCAAATTGGTCACATGTGCTGTTGATGTTTTCTAAGAAGGTGTCCTTTGGGTTTAGATAAGATTACTGGATATTTGGATTGGGGTAAGGGTAAGTGCACAAAGAGAAAAGGTAGCCTAGGGAGAAAGCGTAGGAGGAGAAGCTTGCAACCCCAATTCAGGCTTTCCTTCTTGTTTGCCCTGTAATCTTTGAAAAGCGTTCTATAGCACCCAGCCCCACGTCTCATTACCTATGAGATTGAGTAATCTGGGATTGAGGCCCCTTATCCCTGGGCCTCAGTGGCCTCATCTGCCAAGTGAAAACAATCATATAATTATAATAATCGCCACAGCCATCATTGAGCACTTGCCACGTGCCAAGCATTTTACTAAGTATTTTACATTCATCATTTTGTTTAATCTTTACAGCAGTCCTATGTAGTGGAGACTCTTAATGTCTTCATTTTCTGATGTGGGGACTGCAGTTTTGCAAAAATAGGTCATTGCCCATAATAGTTTTCAGGGCCAGTAACTTGAAGAGCTGGGCTTTGAATTCTGGAGCCCAGCCTTTTAGAAATGTCTAACAGGACGGCCTCCCTTGATTTTTTTTTTTTTTAATTAAATCAATTTTTATTTGATATTTTTTAACTTTAATTTTAGGGCCGGGTGCAGTGGCTCACACCTGTAATCCCAGCACTTTGGGAGGCCAAGGCAGGCAGATCACTTTGAGGTCAGAAGTTTAAGACCAGCCTGACCAACATGGTGAAAGCCCCTTTCTACTAAAACTACCAAAATGAGCTGGGCAAGGTAGCAAAACACCTATAAGGAAGCCGAGGCAGGAAAATTGCTTGATCCTGGGAGGCAGAGGTTGTAGAGAGCTGAGATCATGCCACTGCACTCCAGCCTGGGTGTCAGAGAGAGACTCTACCTCAAAAAAAAAATTTTAGGTTTGGGGGTACATATGAAGGTTTGTTATATAGGTAAACTCATGTCACAGGGGTTTGTTGTACAGATGATTTGATGACCCAGGTACTAAGCCTAGTACCCAATAGTTATTTTTTCTGCTCCTCTTCCTCCTCCCACCCTTTGCCTTCAAGTGGACCTCAGGGTCTGTTGGTCCCTTCTTTGTGTTCATGAGTTCTCTTCATTTAGTTCCCACTTGTAAGAAAGAATATGCGGTATTTGGTTTTCTCTTCCTGTGGTAGTTTGCTAAGGATAATGGCCTCCAGCTCCATCCATGTGCCCACAAAAGACATGATCTTGTCCATTTTGTGGCTGCATAGTATTACATTGTGTCCCCTGATCTTAAAGTGGGAGTCTGGACCAGGTGAGTTCCTCATTCAGCAGATAATGACTAAGGGTCTGCTGTGGGTCAGGTACTGTTTGAGGTGTCAGAAATACAGAAGTGAACAGGACAAACAGAGCTGCCTTTGTGGAGCTTACATTCTGGGGGGATGGGGAGGGACACATAAGCAAATGACTACATAATGTAGTTTCAGGGACTGATAAGCACTGTAAGAAACAGCAGAGTGAAGGCTACCCAAGGTCAGCTGCAGTCTAAAAATATTAAGATATCTGCTGGGCACAGTGGCTCATGCCTGGAATCCTAGCACTTTGGGAGACTGAGGCAGGTAGATCACCTGAGGTCAGGAGTTTGAGACCTGGCCAAACTGGTGAAACCCTGTTTTTATTAAAAATGCAAAAATTAGCCAGGTATGGTGGTGCACATCTCTAATTCCAGCTACTTTGGAGGCTGAGGCATGAGAATTGCCTGAACTTGGGAAGCAGAGGTTTCAGTGAGCCAAGATCATACCACAGCACTCCAGCCTGGGCAACAGAGTAAGACTCTCTTCAAAAAAAAAAAAAAAAATTTAAGATATTTTGAGAGATCCCGATTCCTGTAACTTATTACAGTATATTGTTATAATTGTTCTATTTTATTATTAATGTTCTTAATCTCATACTGTGGCCCTTTTGCCTGCAACTTTAATGATCAAGTTATACTTTGGGTGATGCATAGAGAAAACTTCCTTAATTTAAAGATACTCTGTTTTATAAGGATGGTTGGACAGATGGATAGCTGTATGGACAGATAGATAGAATTTTGAAAACAAAAAAGATAAACTGCTCAGCTTACAACTCCCCGGAGGCCTTTGCCCCCACTGGACATATCTGTTTCTAGTTCCTCGTATAATTAATGTGGGACCAGGTCTCTGACCCACACACACAGTCAGACTGGCCCAGCATCAATGTTAATAGTGTCTTCACATTCTCTGTGTTAGCAAAGGTTCTTGAGCAATGCTAGCCTGGGATATGAGGTGTGGCTTCCTACCTCTACCTCTTCTTCAGGCATAGCTGCACATTTCCTGCTGCTTTTTAACAGTTTTATTTTCATTTTGAAGGCCAGTGACCTAATCACATGAAGCCTAGAACTGCCAACATAGGTTAAACTCTTTTTTTTTTTTTTTGAGATGGAGTTTCGCTCTTGTTACCCAGGCTGGAGTGCAATGGTGCGATCTCGGCTCACCGCGACCTCCGCCTCCTGGGTTCAGGCAATTCTCCTGCCTCAGCCTCCTGAGTAGCTGGGATTACAGGCACGTGCCACCATGCCCAGCTAATTTTTTGTATTTTTAGTAGAGACGGGGTTTCACCATGTTGACCAAGATGGTCTCGATCTCTTGACCTTGTGATCCACCTGCCTCGGCCTCCCAAAGTGCTGGGATTACAGGCTTGAGCCACCACGCCCGGCCCACGTTAAACTCTTAATTGTTTTTCCTTAGAGAGGTAGTGACTTGTAATACAAGACCATTGTGAAATTCACATTTTATCAGGGAAACTTTTCCCTTGAATGAATCTTGTCAATCAGATTTCATTCCAGGAGCAGTACTTGGAAGAGGTGATATGGGTCTCAAATCAAGTGCAGCTGCCAAGCTAGCTGACCTTGATCACCTACTGGGGGAGCCAGGCCAGAAGGCAAGAGGGAGCCTTTCCTTACACTCCCCACTCAGCAGCTCCCCTGGCTACCAGCTCCTGGGGCCAGCCAGGTGCCTTGCCTTGGTGTTTTCTTCTCTTGTCTCACTTAATCTTCACACTCCTGTGAGGCCTGCAGCTTCTTTTTGTAGCAGAGGAGTTTGAGATTTAGAAGGGTTAGGTAAGTTGCCAAAGTGCTTAACAGCTCATTAAGTACACAGAGTAGGGCTCTGTGGGTCTGTCCTCCCTGTCCTCCTACCATACCTAAGTCATGTTGCCTACCAAGAAGCCAAAAACTAACTCAGGGTTTATATTGTTGTCTTATGTACACCGTTATGGTTTGATTTGATTTGGTGTGACCCAAAGGTCTGGTTACTCCTAAGCCTCCTTCCCAGCCAAGCCCAGTTGGGGATTTGCATTGACTGACTAAGTATGATTTCTGAGCTCTGCAAATTAGAAGTTTCAACACAGAATTGGAATGGCGGGAGCCATTGAAAGCTAGCAGAGTCATAGAGTTTCCTGGCCCAGAAGGAACCATGTCTTGTCATGACATCCAGCCCAGAAACTGATAGTTCTGCTCCAGAATGGATGGAGGTCAGCAGAGCAGCTGTTTATCACAGAACAAGGAGATGTGTCTTCTTCCCATCTTACTCTTTGATTCTTTTTTTTTTTTTGAGACAAAGTCTCGCTTTGTTGCCCAGGCTGGAATGCAGTGGTACGATTTCTATGTCAGCTCACTACAACCTCTACCTCCCAGGTTCAAACGATTCTCCTGCCTCAGCCTTCCAAGTAGCTGGGATTAAAGGCACGCACCACCACACCCAGCTAATTTTTGTATTTTTAGTAGAGATCGGGTCTTGCCGTGTTGGCCAGGCTTGTTTCGAACTCCTTACCTCAAGTGAGCCCCCTGCCTCAGCCTCCCAAAGTGCTGGAATTATAGGCATGAGGCATGGCACCAGGCCCTTTGATTCTTTTCTAAGCCACTTCCTGTCTTATTTTCCTAGTCAAACATTGTATATATTTTTGTTAACATTCTTCATGTTTACATACATAATCCATATTAATCTATAAGTATTTCCATGTGTACCTCCAAAGAATACAGACATTCTCCTACATACCATATAATGCCTGAGAAAAATTAGAATTACTTAATATCATCCAAATATCCAGTCTACACTGATATCTTTCCAGTGTCCTGGTAATGTCTTTTGTGGCTATTTTGGTTGTAATTTTTCTTTTTTTTTAATAGCAATGGGGTCTCTCTGTATGTTGACCAAGCTGGTCTCGAACTCCTGGGCCCAAGCCATCCTCCTGCCTGGCCTCCTAAAGTGTAGGATTACAGGCATGAGCCACCATGCAGGCTTCTGGCTTTAATTTTCTTGATACAGTCACATTTGATTGTTAAATCTACCTTTTAGTTTCCCATAAGAAATTACCACAAACTGGGTGGCCTAAAAGTAACAGAGATTCATTCTCTCACAGTTTTAGGGGCCAGAAGTCTAAAATTGAGGTGTCAGCAGGGTCAGGCTCCCTCCAAAGGCTCTGGCGGGGAAGCCATTTATTTCTTGCCTCTTCTAGATTCTGGTGGCCCCAGAAATGTGACCATGGAAAATATAGATACAAAACAAGACTAAGTGAAGGGTTACTACGTCGTCCTTGGGGTCCTATATAGTTACTAAAATCATGCTACAAATTTGGCTCTGAGTTTCCTGAGCCAGAGAAAAACATGATTAGTTATAGGTTTGATATGTCCAAAAAGGAAAATTCTACCAGTTCCTCAAGGGAAGGACAGCTAACAGCTTACAGATGTAATTGTGTCAGTTACGGCAATTCCCATAGCTGTAGTTACATATAAACCCCAAGTCTCAGGGGCTTAACAATAGAGTTCATTTTTGTTCTTGTGAAATCCAACCCGGGTGTGTCTGATTGGCGGGCCGATCAACTCCAAAAGATGCTTTAGGAATCCAGTCTGCTTCCTAGTGGCTCCCAGTCTTCAGCACACAGCTTCCAAGGTCACCTTCAGAAAGGAAGAGGCACCAGGAGGGTTTGTACAAGGGAGGATTTTATGGGTCACCCTGGAAGTATCACACCACACATGGCCATACCTAACTGTACAAGAGACTGAGACCTGTGGTCTGGCCACATACCTGGGGAAGAAATAAGTGGAGTTTATGAACAGTTAGCCAGTCCCTGCCACAGACCATGTGCCTCTGAAGGGCTCTCTGCCAGATTCTATGTGTCTATGTGGCAGAGTCCCTGGGCCCATGCTCCTTCACTAAGTGGCTCTTGACCTCAACAGACTGAATTCCCCCATCTCCTTAAGGTCCTCAATAGTAGAGTAGACTGATACTTGAATGGCATGTATGGTTATGACTTCCATCACTTGACTTTGAATTTCTTAAAAATAGACATGAGTCCTACTCCTCTCTTGTACCAACCCCTATCACAGTTGGCCAGAGTAGTGAGTCAGATACTTTGCATTACATTGATCTGAAATGAATAACAAGATATTGATCCACAGTCTATGAATTTTACATGCCTGATATGATTCACACTTACTCTGGAGCATATAAGACAAGAGGTAAGGCAAGATTGCCTGTACTTTGACTTTGGAATTTATTTGTGGGGTGGGATAAGATGTTAGGGTCTTGACAACAGATTACGAATTGCACTTTGTTTCAGGGAAAACATAGTTTGAATTTTGGCCAGGTGCTGTGGCTCACGCCTGTAATCCTAGCACTTTGGGAGGCCAAGGTGGGTGGATCACCTGAGGTCAGCAGTTCAAGACCAGCCTGACCATCATAGTGAGAAACCCCATCTTTAAAAAAAAAAAAAAGATAGTTTGAATTTTTTAAATAGATGACCGGCTATGTGTGGTGACTCACACCTATAATCCCAGCACTTTGGGAGGCTGAGGCAGGAGGATCACTCAAGCCCTGGAATTTAAAACCAGCCTGGGCAACATAGTGGGACCCTATCACTGCAAGAAATTTTAAATTAGCTGGGCATGGTGGTGCATGCCTGTAGTCCACGCTACTCAGGAGGCTGAGTGGGGAGTATCACTTAAGCCCAAGAGGTCAAGTCTGCAGTGAGCCACGATCGTGACACTGTACTCTAGCCTGGCTGACAGAACAAGACGCTGTCTGAAACCATAGACCTCAAGGCATATTGCAGATTATCTGTCTGCATATAGGTAATTGAATATTCGCCTCCTGGAGAAGAAAAAGAATAAAACCAGCTTTTTATTGAGTCTTATTCCTCTTGTCATTTTGAGTGGTTATACTTGTTTTTTCTCTTTCTTCTTTGCAGTGCTATATCGGAAAGGCCCTCCATTTTACCATGCAAGGTTTGGAGTGATTTTTAAATAAATTAATGGGTTAAAGGGACACAAGGAATTTCTGGACTCTAATTTAATTTTTTGGTACCATAGGAACAAAAGTCATGTTCTTCCTGGCCTGGTATAGCTGCTCTCTGTTCATGCCTTACACACTAATGTCTATACTAAATATAGGATGATACATAGTTTATGATCATAAGTGTTCAGGTGTTAAACATTGAGTTAATCTATGCCATAATTGTTCATCTTAACATCAGTTAGTATTAGTGTCTAAACATTTGTTTGAATTTATAGCTTTCCTATTGGGAAAAATACTCATTTTTTCCTGTAAGTAAGTCTTAGAATCAGCCTGAAAGTTTGTAACTTAAAGTATGAATTTTTCATTAATATTTTCTCAGTAGCAGTCTAGGGGAATTTAGAATCAGATGATGTAAACTGTATTTTCTGTATTTTTGTTCTTGGTAGGACAAATTATTTTTAAACAGGTTTATTTCAATCATTCTTTTAAAATGCTTTTTCTGTATTTTCCAGTTATTCTGTCATTATTGAGCTAGTTGATGACCATTTTGAAGGCTCTCTCCGCAGGCCATTCAGTTGGAAGTCCCTGGCTGCCTTGAGCAGAGTTTCTGTTAATGTCTCTAAGGTAACATAACATCAGCTTTGCCATTGGAGTGTCACTAAAATGGCTCAGTTTTGTTTTATGTTTGTTTGTTTGTTTTTCTTAAATGTAGAATCAAAAAAAATTATTTGTAGAAACTTTGTAACATTCCTGCCAGTGACATGCTGGAAGATTTGGGGTCATTTGTACCCTTCCCTTATGGCGCTAGAAGTTGTCCTCCTCTCATGTTACATTTTATTGTCCGCTCCTTCCCAACTGCTTCTGAGCTCCAGTGACTGAGCTTAGAAGTTTCCCGTGGCGATCTGATCCAGATAGGCATTGCCTCTCTTCCCAGGGGTATTGTTGCTATGTGGCCTGGTTTATACTGCAACTTAACATTAACTTACACATGTATTCACCAAGGAGTCAAAACAGTGAAAGTTTGCAGATCTCTTAGAGAGGAAGGGACTTGGTATTGATTGCTAAGCACTTTCCCATCCTGTTGTTACTCTCATCCTGAGTATGAGAAACCAAGGTTAGAGCTGTTGAATGACTAATCCAAGATCACACAGTTCATGTGCAGACTCGGGATCCAGACTCACAGTTGTCTGGCTCCCCAGCTTGTGTTTCACTGTATCCTTCCTGTTCCCATCAGAGATAGGAGGGACTCAGCTTACACAAGGACTATCAAGAAGGAAAGCTGTGTGTGTTTCATTCCTCAGTGATTTGCTGGCTGAGAACAAATTGTAGATACCCTCCAACTTCGTCCTCATGCTGCTGGAGGTGAGGTGGGACTGAGGCCACAGGGTCCTGCCAGGCTGGAGATGACTGCCCTTGAGAGCAAGTTAGGTTGCCTAGGCTTTAGCTTGGTCCTGTAGAAAATTAGGGAGCCTATACTGTTTCCAGTATTTTTATGCCCACTTTAGGGGACTCATAGCATATACTTAATATGTCCTCACTTAACATTGCTGATATGTTCTTGGAAACTGCAATCTTTAAGCAAATGCCATATAACAAAACCATTTTTTCTTATCATCATTATAAGAAAGCAATGTTGAAGTTTATTTGGAGACCTGCTGTACATCTGTATTTGTCCATTCTCATGCTGCTATAAAGAAATACTTAACACTGGGTAATTTATTTAAAAAAAGAGGTTTAATTTACTCACAGTTCTGCATGGCTGGGGAGGCCTCAGGAAACTTAAAATCATGGTGGAAGGCACCTCTTCAAAGGGTGGCAGGAGCGAGAATGAGAGGTGAGTGAAGGAGGAAGCCCCTTATAAAACCATCAGATCTCGTGAGAACTCACTATCACTAGAACAGCATGGGGACTGCCCTCATAATCTAATCACGTCCCACAAGGTCCCTCCCATGACACATGGGCATTGTGGGAACTACAGTTGAAGATGAGATTTGGGTGGGAGCACAGCCAACCCATAACAGCATCGTTTTGCTTAGTCAGTTTCCAAGAACCTATCAAGGACATTAAGTGAGAACTTAACTATATTTAGTATTCTTAATGCTGTGTTTATGATCGATGAATCTGCTTCTACCTCTTGCCATGTTTGGTGATTACTAAATGGCAGGTACCTAGTCAAAATGTAAATCCCAATTATGATGTCCCTACGAGGATACTGATGTGCTCTGTGAGTTTTCACTTTTGGTGATTCCAGGAGTGCACAGTGAGAAGGACTGGAGACAACCTGAATTTCCTGCTGATGCACCCACATTTGTACTATTATTTTGTAGGATATGAAAGTGTTTTTTCATTTCTCAATAGGAACTTATGCTGTGCTATTTGATTAAACCCTCTGCTATGACTGACAAGGAAATGGAGTCACCAGAATGCATGAAAAGAATTAAAGTTCAGGTGGGTAAACTGAGAGAAATTAATGTCATCCCAAAGATTCTGTGCATCATAGTGTATCTGGAACATGTGGTCCCAAGCAAATAAATGAATATATAGTCTTGCCTTAGTAACAGAGAGCCTCCTTAGGTTCTTTAAGTCTTTCACCTTTTCCCCACTGAACCCATTGGACACGAAATCTATGCTGACTTCCACTATTCCTTAATTCCCCACTTGTTTACCTGTGATGTTCTCATCACTCAGCTGAAACTGCTCTCTCACAGATGGCCTGTGACCTCCTGGTCAGGCCAGGACCTCTCACAGGTCTCATTCCAGAGACTGGAGGTATCCCCGTTGACTCGCTTCTACTTCTGGGCTTCTGTATTGAACTAAGGCACCTCCTGTTGTCTTGGCTGGTTTCTCTCTGGTCTTGCCGAGTTGTCTAGTGTGTCCATGTTTCTGCATTCCCTTCCTCTGTGTGTAGAGCCTTAACATTGCTATTAGCTCCTCCCCGCATCCAGTATGTCATTGTTGTCGTCCTCTCTTGTATACGTCACCCCTTCTTCTTTTCACACCACCCTGCCCCCTGCTGACCTGCTGGTCAGTCTCCAAGGCCCCAGCACCTTCAGTTGGTCCCACTTATCTCCACTAGGCTAGTTTTTTATAAAATGCTGATCAACCTCATTTCTCCCTTCTCAGTAGCTGGCCCAGTTACAGCAACGCCATCACAGACCTAGCTCTAATGTAAAATCCTGTCTTAACCAGCCCACCTGTTCTCGAAATGTGCTGGTAGAACACCACAGCAAAGGCAAGCTTAGCTTTTAAAATCTTTGCCTGGTGAAAGTAGATGCTATTTGCTTGTAAGGTTTATATTGTTACATTCATTTTTTCCAGACGTTTCTGTTACAAAGATGGGAGCAGTATCATCATTATCTAGCCAGCTGTTTGTGAAATGTAGCTGTGGTATCAACTACCCAGAATGGTCTTACATTTCTGTTTTAAGAAATTGTCTTTTATTTTGATTGGTTGCAGGAGGTGATTCTGAGTCGATGGGTTTCTTCACGAGAGAGGAGTGACCAAGACGACCTTTAATAATTCAACCTTTGAAATTAGAAATTCAAATTTCTAATTTCACCAACAACTATTTATTGAGGGCTAGGTAAAAAGTTTACTGTAATCGTTCATTAATTTATAAGTTTTAAAGGGCATGCTGCTCCCAGCACCAGAAAACTATCAGTGTTTTTAAAGATAAATTGCACAGGGGAGGAGAAGGATCCCTGTGCTGGGACTGCAGGCTTATCCTTGCATTGGCCTTTTAACTCTCCAACCCTGAGCCTCGTGCCTCAGTCTGTGCTCTCATCTGGTCACTGAGGAGGTTGGACTAGATGAGTCCTGAGAGAACTCTTCCAACAACAGGGACATTTGCTCTGATTTTATCTGAAAATTGTGGTAGTTTACATTTATACAGTATGGTTTATGAAGCACTTTCATACACAGGCATCTGTTGTTACCTACATGTAAGCTGTACCTGAAAGAGTATTAGCAGATTTAGCAATTACATGCATCTATGTTCCATTATTTTAAATAGAAAGAATAGTTATGTGTCTCAGCTTATCCAAGAACTTTAACCAATAGCTGAAAACATTGGAAAGTCCCTTCAGTATCTACCAAGGATTTCTGTATCACAAAGCCTTTAAGACATCAGTTACCTGATTATGTAATTCTCAAATGAACTCAATGGTAGGCATGTTTATGTACAGAACACAAAAATATTGTACATTATTAATCTTCACTGAACTTGTTATAAAAATGAGTGGTGAAATGTTTGAAGACATAAGGAAAGCAACTTACATTTAGCAAAATGTAATAAAGCCTTTTTTAATTGGTGAGAAAGTCATGAAGACTTAAGTTGCCTAAGGGCATTCGGTGGCAAGAGGAGGGAAATGGGTGGCTGGGCACAGTGGCTCATACCTATAATCCCAGCACTTGGGAGGCTGTAGGAGGCCAAGGTGCACAGATCACTTGAGCCTAGGAGTTCCAGACTGGGTAACCTGGTGAAATCTCTCTGTAAGTGTTCGAATGAGGCAACTGAGGCCAATTATTGAAATAAAGAAATTTAATTGGCTCCTGGGCGAGGTTTTATGGTCCCGGGGAAAGGGGTCAGAGAAGTCGCATTTGGCTTCTCAGGGCCTGGGATTTTATAGGGAGTGGAGGTAGTTGATTGGCTATTGGGGAAACAAAGCAAAGACAATTTCATTGGTTATGGGGAGGCAGGGCGCGAACGGGGCTAGCCGCTATTGGTAGCCAGGCGGGACTAGTGGTAGGTGAGCCGGCTGAGGACGTCCGGGGCAAGCTGCTAGTGGGTGGGTCTTGGCGGGGCTTTTTAAAATTTTGGCGGGGTCAAGTGCATAGTTTGGTGCTGAGTGTTGTGGAATGCAGAGGTGGGTGTGGGGAGCCTGCATGGAGAGGCCAGATGCTGAGTAATGTGTTTGGAATGATGACGTAGTTACCAGGTGGGCAGAGGGATGGGCGTGTCCATTTAGCTCCCAGCGAGGCAACCAGCCTTGCACTCTACCAACAAAAATTAGCCAAGCGTCCTAGTACATGCCTGTAATCCCAGCTACTCAGGAGGCTAAAGTGGGAGGATCAGTTGAGCCCGGGAGGCAGAGGCTGCAGCGAGCAGAGATCATGCTACCACAATCCAGCCTGAGTGATAAAGCAAGGCCCTGTCTCAAAAAAAAAGGTGGAGGGGAATGGAAAATGGAAAGGGGGATAGTTGCTCTTTGGGGGAAGAGGGAAGAGAGCTGGAGTGAGCCAGTGAAGGCCTGAGAGAGACAGATGTCTAAGATTCATTCAGTGTCTAAATTTCAGTAACTAGTGGACAGTCTTCTTGGCATTCAAGACTCCAGAAGTGGATGGGACCATCTTTGGAAGCTATGAGATGGAAAAGCAAAATGGGCATGTTTGCATTCCCTTGACCTGTGGTCTTAGAAATCCTGGCAACATAAGATTCTGCTTATGAAGTTATTTTTAATTTGGTACTTCTGTTCGTGCCACAATTCTGCTCTCTACAACAAACTCAGTATTTCTGTATGATCTAGATTTTAAAGGCATTGAAAGGTGTGGTGACCTGGGCTTGTAATACCTGCTATTCAGGAGGCTGAGCTGAGAGGATCACAGGAGACCAGAAATTAGAGATTCCAGTGAGCCATGATCATGCCACTGTGCTCCATTCTGAGCGACAGAGTGAGGCTCCGTCTTGGTAAAATAAATTTATTTTAAAAGGTGTTCTTAGTTCTAGGAGCAAGGGGGGAAGAAAGTTAAAAAAAAAAAAAATTTGTTCAAATTATGGAGCTCCTTCCTCCCCTGCCTTAAACCAGAAGTAACCATCAGAAGGGTTTCTTAGTAGAAAGAGTGTCTGAGCAGCTCCTCATTAGTGATGCTTTAGTTCAACATTTTTACTGTCTACCTTGCTTATCGTGAGGCCAAAGATTTTTTGCTTTGAGTCATTTTCTCAAAACCTTGAAGGTCAACAAAAAATATCAGGGGCCTTTTCTTCCTTGTTTCATTCATATGTGTGGTGACACTTCTTTATGGTAAAAAAACAAACAAAAAAACTCTTCCATTAAATATCAACCTACATCAGATACTTTATCATCAACTAATATGCCCTGAAGGTTGTGGTAACGCCTGGGCATGCAGGCTGCAGTGATGTGGTATTAAAGCCAAAAGACCACACCAAGGCCGGGCCTGTAATCCCAGCACTTTGGGAGGCTGAGGCGGGTGGATCACGAGGTCAAGAGATCGAGACCATCCTGGTCAACATGGTGAAACGCTGTCTCTAAAAATATAAAAAAGCTGGGCATGGTGGCACATTCCTGTAATCCCAGCTACTCAGGAGGCTGAGGCAGGAGAATTGCCTGAACCCAGGAGGCAGAGGTTGCAGTGAGCCGAGATCGCGCCATTGCACTCCAGCCTGGGTAACGAGCGAAACTCCGTCTCAAAAAAAAAAAGACCACACCAATATTATTTGCAACTGAAATCTCTAGAAGAATGTCCAGAAGGCTCATCTTTAGTCAAAGAAGTCTGTATGAAATACTTTTCTTCATGTATACAATTTGGGCACCGCAGAGTAGGCTGAGCAGTCTTCAGCATCACCCAGGGGCCCTGGGTTCTGGAATGATACATTAGCAAGGGTTTAGTTTAACATTACTGTCACAATTTCCAGTTAACAGCAGTATTCGCTTATCTTCGGAGGTTTTATGTCCTGACACATTTTCTTCTGAAATGTACAAGATAGCATTTGTTTTTGTTTTAAGCCAAAAACATAGGTTTGTCAAGATTAGAAATTTGCTCTGTGGTTAAAACCACCTGCAGGAGTTTTCCTATAATTCACTGTGGAGATGGTACAGCCTCACCTAGAGCAGAAATTGCTTCGCTCATACTCATCAAAATAATCAAGTTTAGGTGGTTATCTCTTGTCCTTTCCAGACTTGCTTTTAAATTAGCTAGAATCCTTCCCCAAATCATCTCTCTCCTCCACCACTCTCAGCTCTCCAGTGGTGTTCAGAGCCTTCTGGCACATCAGCCTTGTCTCAGTGGCATCAGGCCAACTGGCCAGGCATCTTCGGCACAAGAATTTCACTAGCTTTAGTACACCATGCTCAAGAACGCCGTGAAACCTTCTGGAACCAACAGTATTTCCACAAGTCTTGTCACCCAGTGCAAAACATTAGACACACAAAAGAAGGTGGACACATGCTGGGCAAGGATTATATCTTCAGTGTCTTTACCTTTTTCAGTATACCTTATCATTTCCCTTTTTTTTTTTTTTTTTTTTATTGGTGAGATGAGTCTAACTGTCGTCCAGGCAAGCTGGAGTGCAGTGGTGTAATCTCAGCTCACTGCAACCTCTGCCTTTCAGGTTCCAGTGCTGCCTCTGCCTCAGCCTCCCAAGTAGCTTGGATTACAGGCATGTGCCACCATGGCTGGCTAATTTTTGAATTTTCAGTAAGATGAGGTTTTACCATGTTGGCCAGGCTGGTCTTGAACTCCTGACCTCAGATGATGCGCCCACCTGGGCTTCCTAAAGTGCTGGGATTACAGGTGTGAGCCACTGCGCTCAGCCCCCACCCCCCTTTTTTTTCTAATGGGATATCCTAGGTCTCTAAAATCACCTTGTTTCATGGGCCTTTTCCTTTGGAGACATTTTCACATAGTAAACTGGGGAAGACAATGTGATAATACACCACACACTAAACAAACGTTGGGTGATCAGCTAAGGTGACAGTCTGAGCTACATCCTTTTATCTGGTCCAGACACTACTTGAATACAATTTTGCTGCAAGCCCTTACATATTTGTTATATTTAATTTGGATAGCCAATATGGTATAAAATATTTTGCAAACCATGATAGCAAACATTCAGAACGTTTGGAGAGTGGGAGTTGAGATGGGGCAGATGCCTGTGTATTTATCCCGGCAGCAGCCTTGTGAATTCAGGAGGGACCCACAGAGAGGTGTTTGAAGCTCAGAGATGGTGGGCGTGCGTCACTACCAATCATGCATGTGGAGGACTTGACCCGAGATTGCTATCTCAGCTGAAAAGACGCTATCCTAAAAATTACATGTAGTCAGAAATACAGCCCTGTTGTCTGGTGGTGGTGGTGAACAAGGAAGATCACCCTCCACATCAGGCAGGGCCAGCTTTGTGCTCTCACACAGTCCTCCACCTCAGGGGTGGGGTGCAGCCTGAAGGCCCCTTACTTATCTATCGGTTGTGCCTATGATTTTGGAAACGGCATCAGAAAGAGTCTATGACGACCATCTATGGATGCAAGGGTAAGAACCTTGGTGCAGTGTGTGGTACTTGGCTTTTAATTCCCCAGAGATAATTCTGAAAACAGCAGTGAAGTGAACCTTCTAGAAAGGAACTTCAAATCTCAGCTCTGCTTCCCTGTGATGGTGCACCTTGGACCATCTATTTGCCCTTGATAACCTGTTTTCTTATGTCTGGCATGTGGCTAATGATGTTTACCTCATTGTGTGGTTGTGTGGGTAAAGGAGAGCCCAAAAATCACTATAATCCTAGCATCTTGGGAGACTGAGGCGAGAAGTTCACTTGAGCCCAGGAGTTGGAGACCAGCCTTAGCAACACAGGGAAACTGTCTCTACTAAATAAATGAATGAATAGGCATGGTGGCATGCACTTGTAGTCTCAGCTGCCTGGGAAGCTGAGGCAGGAAGATGGCTTGAGCCTGGAAGGTCGGTGCTGCAGTGAGCCGAGATCATCCCACTGCACTCCAGCCTGGGTGACGGAGTGAGACCTAATCTCAAAAAAAAAACCACGTGATGCGTAACAGTGTCCCCTTCCTGAAAGAACAACTTTACATTAAACTGGCAAAAGACTAAGGAGACCCATGTCAGTTTGCTTTATATTCAGAGCTAAATGTGGGTTGAGAACAGAAATGTGCTTTTTGAAGATCGGCCCACCCACCTGATGACAAATACAGACATTATTCACAAAATGTAGAATGAGGCAACAGACTTATTGAAGGCCTGTGTGCTGGCGCTGCACCATCTCAGAGCAAGCTAAATCAGCTCCATCCTGTCTTCTGAGGATCCTAGGGGCAAGAATTGGGCAGTCATCCTTAGAAGGCATGGGGCTAGCCCCTGGGAGTGGAGTGTAGATCTTGCCACTGCACTCCAGCCTGGGCAACAAGAGCAAAACTGACTCAAAAAAAAAAAAAGAAAAAGGAGGGAATTAATAGCCTGCAGAAAATTGAGAGAGAAGTATGAGGCAAGCTTTTGCCAATGTCACCCACAGATTAGAGAGCACCCCCTAAAATAGGAAATCTAAAGCTTTCCTTGAAAAGGGGTGAGAATCCCAGCACTTTAAGTAGGGGGATCACTAGAGACCAGCCTGGACAACATAGTGAGGTGCTGTCTCTACAAATAATTTTTTTTTTTGAGACGGAGTTTCACTTTTGTTACCCAGACTGGAGTGCAATGGCACGATCTCGGCTCACCGCAACCTCTGCCTCCTAGGTTCAGGCAATTCTCCTGCCTCAGCCTCCTGAGTAGCTGGGATTACAGGCACGTGCCACGATGCCCAGCTAATTTTTTGTATTTTTAGTAGAGACAGGGTTTCACCATGTTGACCAGGATGGTCTTGATCTCTTGACCTCATGATCCACCCACCTCGGCCTCCCAAAGTGCTGGGATTACAGGCGTGAGCCACCATGCCCAGCCACAAATAATTTTTTAAAAATTAACTGTGTATGATAGCATTCACCTGTAGTTCCAGCTACCAGGAAGGCTAAGGTAGGAGAATTGCCTGAACCCAGGAGGTCGAGGCTGCAGTGAGCCATTGTTGTGCCTCTGGACTTCAGCCTAGGCAACAGAGGAAGACCCTGTCTCCAAGAAAAATAATAAATGAAAAAGAAAAGAGGTGCAGCCCCTAAGGGAAATGAGCATAAAATAGGCATTCCTTATACTATTTATTTTAGCTGACTTTTATTGTTTACCTCCTTTCCATGTTTGAATGTTGATAAAAACAAATCCTTATTTTCTCCTTTTTCTTCTCTAATGATGGCAAAGTATTGACCTAGTTTCTGCACATAGTAGGTACAGTTGGTCCCTTCCAGTTTGCTGGGGGTTGTCTTCTTGACCTCTGCAGTGTGGCCCAGGGGTTAAGGGCACAGCTTTTGCAGTCAAGCCTTGGTTTGAACCCCCAGTTTTGCCACTGTATGACTTTGGACAAATAATTTCCTCAGTTTCTCTTTTCATCTGTAAAAGAGGCATAATGTTAGGACCTACCTCAGAGGATGGTCTTGAGGATTGGCAAGGAAGAATAGTGTTTCTTCTGGTGTGGAGTCCTTTATGAATGCTTATTAAATGCAGCTGCTGTTATAATTGGTAAAGAATTAGACTAGAGAAGCTAAATCCTAATATAACGTGGAAGAATGGAAGTAAATTGGAATTCTTTCATATTTACTGTCTGGGGTTTTGTGGACTTCTTGAATGCCGTAGAATAGCAGTCACAGTTTTGCTTAAAATGGTATCAAATTCTGGATGGGCAGTTTTGTATCTCTTTAAAGGAAAGTACCTGAACTTATAAATGCAAATGTTGCTATGCCATACATTCTTTCCCACTGAAGTTAACTGTGCTGAAACATAGACCGAATGCCTCTTTGGAAACAAGCTTTAAGGATCTGTAGCAAGTTTTCTGAATATCTTCCTTCCTAATGTTAAAGGATAAAGCACATTAAAATCTAAAGAGTTTATTTGAGCAAACAGCCATTCATGAATCAAGCCGCACCAAAACGGAAGTGGTTCAGGCTTCCCGGGAAGAGTATGAAGGGAGGCTTTTAGAGGGTATATGAGGAAGCATAGACGAGAAGTTGGTTGAGGTTTGAGGTTGCCTTATTTAGGTTATCCCAGTGGTAAGTATCTGATTGTGTAACTAATGGTCAGTTGGCCATTTAGGATTGGCTGAGCTTAAGTTTCATTTAGTTTAATGTGGAACTGGGTGTTGGATCCATCTTGGTGTAATGGCTTCCCCCTAAGTTATTTTAACATGAGGCAGTTATTGTTGCCTTTAAGATGGGTTTTTGATTTTTGGAAATTAGACATCAATTGGTACCAAGGCTGGGGAATAAGATTAAGTAAAGTAGTACATCACATTTGGTCTAAAAGTGAGTTCTGGAAGAAGTTTCCAAAGAGGAATTTGGGAATGTTGTGCATGTTGGCCTTTTGAAGTTCAATGATTCTTTCAGTACACAAACTCCAACATACTTGTTAAAAATCCCCAGTTACTGATCCCAGTTTCCCCAGACTCCTCCTGAAGGTATCAGAGAAAGAAGAGAGCCCTCTCTTCGTGTCCTTTCTGAACTCTGCCTTTCCAGTGGGCATAGGAAGTACTTTGTGGTGGCAGACCCAACTCTGAACCTCCATGTGTTGGGTCAGGCCAAATGAAAAGGACACAGGTTGGAATTTTACTGATTCGAGGCATCGCCAGGCCCTTTTGTGCAAATAAACCCTGAAGAGCTCATTTAAAAGGAGTAACCATTTCCTGATTTAGATTCTGAGGGGGTTTTTGGTTTGGTTTTGTTTTACTGTTGTTCACCATCATGAGCTTACTATGCACTTTTTTTTCTTGAGATGAAGTCTCGCTCTGTCTCCCAGGCTGGAGTGCAGTGCTGCGCTTTTGGCTCACTACAACCTCTGCCTCCTGGGTTCAAGTGATTCTTGTACCTCAGCCTCCCAAGTAGCTGGGATTACAGGCACCTGCCAGCACGCCTGGCCAATTTTTATATTTTTATATTTTTAGTAGAGATGGGGTTTCACCATTTTGGCCAGGCTGGTCTCGAACTCCTGACCTCAGACGATCTGCCTGCCTTGGCCTCCCAAAGTACTGGGATTACAGGTGTGAGACACAGTGCCCAACCCATACATGTTTTTATTGACCACAGTTAAATGCATTTAGAAATTCATAGTACTGATGAAAGGTAGCAAGCTTCCTACCCCCATTGTCCGGACTGCACTTAGGTAGGTCTCAGCACAAACCGCTGCCCTCAGGGGCTTGTGCCTCCTGCTGGGGGCGGTCAGTAACATAGAAGCCATGCTCCTGTATTGCCCGGTAGAGTGTGATGTATTTGGATGCCAGCCTTGTCCGAGGGACCACGTACTTCTCTGTAAATTCACTCTTGTCCAGTTGCTCTCTACCTTCTGCCATCAGAACACAGTTAATGAACATGAGTGTGTAAGTGTAGCAGTTGTAGTGGTCTTCTTCATACCTTGAAGAGAACAAAGGCATTGGGAGGAAAAGGCTGCTCAGGAACAGGCTGTGAAGCTAACAAAGGCCTTTCCTAACTGAAATTGGGTGCTTCAGTGAGCAGAGCTTCTGAGTAGTTAAGAAGCTTTAAGATGTGCAATTCAGGCCAGGTGCGGAGGCTCACACCTATAAACCCAGCACTTTGAGAGGCCAAGGTGGGAGGATCACTTGAGGTCAGGAGTTTGACAATGGCCAGGCCAACATGGTGAAACCCCATCTCTACAAAAAGACGTCTTCTGAAATGTTGGGAGAGAGGAATTGAGAAATTAAGTTGAAATTGTTAAAATTACAAAATAGAAACTTAAGTATTTTTACATTTTGAGCATTGTTTTTTGTTTTTTTTTCTTTTTTGGAGTCAGAGCCTCACTGTTGGCCAGGCAGGAGTGCAATGGCACGATCTTGGCTCACTGCAACCTCTGCCTCCTGGGTTCAAGCGATTCTCCTGCTTATGCCTCCTAAGTAGCCTCCCAAGTAGGGACTACAGGTGTCTGCCACCATGCCTGGCTAATTTTTGTATTTTTAGTAGAGATGGAGTTTTACCATGTTGGCCAGGCTGGTCTCAAACTTCTGACCGCAGGTGATCCACCTGCCTCAGCCTCCCGAAGTGCTGGGATTATAGGCATGAGCCACTGTGCCCAGCCTGAACATTGGTGTTTAAAATTTTTGTTTTAGGGAAATGTAATATCATGACTTGCTTTATATGTGTAAAAAATACCTTGTCACATAACTAAAATAACTGAATACAGGTTCTAGTTTTTTTTTACCTCTTACAGTGCTGTGATTTTGTTGTATGTGTATGCTGACCCACCTGCAGAAAACCTAAGGTAGTTCAACCTCTGTTTAAATTCTGTTAGAGATGCTAATATCTCCATGTGAACTCAATGTGAAGCTAAATGCTGCTGAGTCCTCTGTAAGCTGAGGCCATACGGAGATCCCACTTGAATAACATGTGAGTGCCAGTGAGGGTCACCCTTTGCAGCCGTGTACCTGTGAGGCAACCAGGCCCCCGAGGTGGAGAAGTCTTCCAGGTACTTGTCCCATTGCTCCATCATTCCATACATGTTGGGCTGCAGTAATGGGATGCTTATGCTCTGCTCCCACCCTGCTCCATCTCGCTGGACACCTTGTGCACTGTAATTATACACAACCCCTACAAACAAAAACCAAAGTCATGTGGAGCCTCAAGGAAACACACACCTCTGTGAAAAAGGGACATCAGAAAATGACAGTAGCCACACGGTAACTTTACATAATATAAATCTAGGCAGGAGGTTCTAGAATCTCCTTCCATCCACCTAATAAGATTTAGATTTGCCTAGAGTCAGGGAGGGGGTTTATGTAGCCTTCCCTGTTATCAGCAAAGCATTTCCTTGAGAGAACCCCAGTTCTAGCTCTACCTGCAGTTCAGGGCTGTGAGGTTGCCCCCAGGAAGCGGAGATAGTAATAGGCACCACGATCATCATCTCCAATATTTTTATTGAAGTTCTCTACCAGTGGTTCAATCTTGTTTCCTTAAATCAGGAACATATTACCACCTGATAAAGATGGGTGGTAAGTATGACTGTTCTTGTGGGTAACTGAGTTCAGAACTGGTCTGGGTTTCTGATCACTGTCAATTTCTTTCTTTTTTTTTTTTTTTTTTTTGAGATGGAGTTTCGCTCTTGTTACCCAGGCTGGAGTACAATGGCAGGATCTCGGCTCACCACAACCTCTGCCTTCGGGGTTCAAGCAATTCTCCTGCCTCAGCCTCCCAAGTAGCTGGGATTACAGGCGCGTGCCACCATGCCCAGCTAATTTTTGTATTTTTAGTAGACTCGGGGTTTCACCTTGTTGACCAGAATGGTCTCGATCTCTTGACCTTGTGATCCACCTGCCTAGGCCTCCCAAAGTGCTGGGATTATAGGCGTGAGCCACCGCACCCGGCCCACAGTGTCAATTTCTCTTTGCTCATAGGGTAAGGCTGTTATCAGACTTCACCATGCCCAGGCTACACATCCTGCAGGTGGCTCCACCCAGACCCTTTTCCTGCAGACAAGAAAGCTTCTCGCTGAAGAGTTGCACACTGCCCTCAGAGCTATAGGTGGCTAAAGGAACTGTTTTGTTTAATTTTCACTTTCTTTAAAAAACACAAAAACACTGCAGTCCCCACCACACCCTACTTTACTCCTGGAGTCCCTGGAGTGTGGGGACCCAGTGGTAGTTGGCTGAGCATAGAAAGGATTGGAAATCAGAGGGCCTGTTTCCAGATTCTCGTTCAGATACAAGATGTGAGGTCTTGGGCAACTCAGCCTCACTGGACATCTATTTCTTTCTTTTTTAAAAACTAATAAAAAATGTACAGGTTTGTGAGGCTCTTCACTGAGAAAACTAAAAGAGCTTTCAAATATTTCATATTGTTAGTAGTAATAATTTGCCATAAAGTCAAATATTTCTCCTTTGGGGGCAGTGCACACCTCATGGTGGAGCATGAGAACCCAGTGAATAATGGAATCGCTCATTAGATGCTGCCGTAATCGAATCTTCTCTACAAAGACTCCTTTCCTTTTACTGGGTATTGGGTTTTGTTTTAAGCTATGAAACCGCACTTACCATTTGTGTTAGTTATTCCAACATGAAGATTAGACCTTCCATCATACTCCCTGAAAGAAACAAGGTTTATTTTTTTCTGGTTTGCATGTGTTTGGCATGAAGAATTGGCATTTAAAGTAGGAGGCGGCCAGGCACAGTGGCTCAAACCTGTAATCCCAACACTTTGGGAGGCCAAGGCAGGCAGATCACTTGAGGCCAGCAGTTCGAGACCATCCTGGTCAATATGGTGAGACCCCATTTCTACTAAAAATACAAAAATTAGCCAGGCATGTTGGTGTGTGCCTGTGATCCCAGCTACTCGGAAGGCTCAGGCACAAGGATCACTTGAACCCGGGAGGTGGAGGTTGCAGTAAGCCAAGATTGCACCACTGCACTCCACCCTGGGTGATAGAGCGAGACACAGTCCAAGAAAATAAGTAGGAGAGCAGGCTGTGTGCAATGGCTCATGCCTGTAATCCCAGCACTTTGGGTTGCTAAGGTGGGAGGATCCATTGAGGCCAGGAGTTCGAGACCAGCCTGGCTGACATGGTGAAACCCTGTTTCTACTAGAAATACAGAAATTAGCTGGGCATGGTGGGGCATGCATCCCAACTACTTGGGAGGCTGAGGCATGAGAATCACTTGAACTCGTGAGGTAGAGATTGCAGTAAGTGGAGAATGTGCCACTGCACTCCAACCTAGGCAACAGAGTAAGACTGTCTCAAAAACAAAAAAGTAGGGGGAGAGAGAGCCAGACATGGTGGCTGTTGTCTGTAGTCCCAGCTCCTTGGGAGGCTGAGCTGGGAGGATCACTTGAGCCCATGGGTTCAAGGCTTTAGTGAGCTATGATTGTACCACTGCACTCCAGCCTCAGCAACATAAAGAGACCCTGACTCTAAAAATTGTACCACTGCACTCCAGCCTCAGCAACATAAAGAGACCCTGACTCAAAAAAACAAAACCCCAGAACAGTTTGGGCTTCATGATTCTGAATAGGTTCACATGAAGCTTCTGCCAGGCTTTGTAGTTAGGGTCTGAAGTGAACATAAAAATAGGATGGGAAGGAGCATGTTGGTGAAACATAACTGAAGCTTGAGACAGGCTTATATACCCTATTGCTAAACCTCCTATGCACCTGTCATTTAAGTTAAGTTCAAATAGCCTTCCCTGTTATCAGCAAAACATTTTCTTGAAACAAACCCAGTTCTAGCTGTACCTACTGTTCAGGGCTGTGAAGTTGCCCCCAGGAAACAGAAACAATAGGTGATAGAATCATCATTGTCAATATTTTTATTGAAATTAAATATTTAATGTTTAAGATTAAAAATTAGGCAGGGTAGGCCAGGCATGGTGGCTCACGCCTATAATCCCAGCACTTTGGGAGGCTGAGGTGGGTGGATCACGAGATCAAGGGATCAAGACCATCCTGGTCAACAAGGTGAAACCCCATCTCTACTAAAAATACAAAAATTAGCTGGGCATGGCGGTGCGTGCCTGTAGTCCCAGCTACTCGGGAGGCTGAGGCAGGAGAATGGCTTGAACCCAGGAGGCGGAGGTTGCGGTGAGCTGAGATCATGCCATTGCACTCCAGTCTGGGTAACAACAGCAGAAACTCCGTCTCAAAAAAAAACAAAAAAAAACTTAGCCGTGCGCAGTGGCTCATGCCTGTAATCCCAGCACTTTAGGATGCTGCGGTGGGCATATGAAGCCAGGAGTTGAAGACCAGCCTAGACAACATGGCGATACCTCATCTCTACTAAAAAATAAAATAATTAGCTGAGTGTGGTGGAGGGCAACTGTAATCCCAGCTACTCGGGTGGCTGAGATATGAGAATCCCTTGAACCCAGGAGGCAGAGGTGGCAGTGAGCAGAGATTGAATCACACTGCACTCCAACCTGAGCAACAGAGTGAGACCCTGTCTCAAAAAAATAAAAAGATTAACAATCTTAATTTTAATCTTTGTTTTACAGATAAGGAACCAGAGACTCCTGGAACGGGTTAGAAGAACCAGGCTAGGAATCGGGGGCTTTATGAGGCCAGAGCCTATAATGCCCTCTGCATTGGCTGCCTCCCTGAGCAAGGCCCAGGGATGCTGTCTGTTTAGCACCTAACATTATGACCAAAATCTTTTCCATACTTTGGTTCATTTCATCCTCATAGGGACCAGAAGGAAATTGTTTAAGGAAGTTAGTAAGCAGGAAGGTGAGTAGTTAACTCCCATTTTCTTATTCAAAATCAGCACTCTTGAGGGGACAGGAGAGTTAGGAGGGTACTCTAAGGAGTATTAGACTAATGATACACAGGAGCCGAACACACTTCCTAAAGCATACATCAACATTCTACGAGACCCATGCTGTTCTAAAGCCTGGTTTATATGGGACTGATCCTAATCCTATTGGTAAACTCCATGGGGACAATAAAATACAAACCTGGCCAGGCACAGTGGCTCATGCCTGTAATCTCAGCACTCTGGGAGGCTGAGGCAGGTGGATCACCTGAGGTCAGGAGTTTGAGACCAGCCTGGCTAACATAGTGAAACCCTATCTCTACTAAAAATACAGAAATTAGCCAGGCGTGGTGGATCCCAGCTACTCACGAGGCTGAGGCAGAAGTGCTTGAACCCAGGAGGCGGAGGTTGCAGTAAGCCAAGATCATGCCATTACACTCCAGCCTGGGCAACAAGAGTGAAACTCCATCTCAGAAAAAAAAAAAAAAAAAAAAGGCATAATCCTTTCTTTTGCTTTCTGAATTCATTATTTTTGTTTGTACCAGCACTCTCAGCAAGAGGGAACTGAATTTGTTCTTAATCAAAGCCAGGTGGTGTCTATGATGAAAATAGAACAGTTCTAGTCTTCAGTTTAACTTGCCTCCATACAAAATAGTCTGTAAGTGCCAGTTTACCAGGCCCTGTACATTGTACCTGTTTGTCACTGAAACTACAACTTAACTGGCAGTAAAGGTATTTAGATAAGATTAGCTGCTGGGTCATTTTCCCAGTTAGCCTCTGAACACATACTTTTCTCTCTGAAAATTGTATGAGCAGGTTTATTCTTCATATATTCCACATATATTCTTGCACTTATCATTGTAGGCACACATGCACACCATTTATTTTTATGAAACCAGTAGGCCTGCATCTCAGGATTTAAGGCCAAAGCACCAAAATAAATGTCCACCAAACCTCACACATTATATATTAAGAAAAGGAAATTTTAGTGACTAAAACAGAAGGACAAGTTTGCACAATGCAGTTTAACACTTTAAAAAACACTGTACCTAAGAAACGTCCCCTGAGTTGGTCTGAGGAGGAATGAACATTTTTCCTGATGTCCATTAGTAAATGGATTAGCGATGCTAACAGGTGCTTCCTCCAGCTTCCTCGAGCCCAGGTCCTGCTGGCAGAGAGGGCAGCACTGGGGCACCCTGAAGCTGTAGATGTATTTCTCACAGTGGTTGAATTTAATTAAAGCCTTCCCAGCCTCTGTGCAGTGCATAGCTTTTGCCTCCTGGGATGCCAGGGGAGGATTCCAGAGACTTCCTTTTCCTCATTACACACCTGGCAAATGCACACCGCCCTGAGAAACCTGATCAATGGTGATGTCATCTTGACTGATGGCTTCAGAAGCCAAACCAGGTAGGATTAACCAGTAGCCAGGCCTCCCTGTAGACGGTTTCTTAAAGAGCTAGTTTCTGTTTATTTCCATTGTTGATGGTAACAGATGACTGCCAGCTTCTATTCATCCTTTAAAGTCTCACTTTTCCATGAAACCTTTCTCAGCTTGCCTTAGTCTTCCCTTGCAGTGGCAGCACTGCAAGTGGATTCATATTTCTATCAAAACTCATTTATTTATGTATTTATTTAGAGACAGGGTCTCTGTCACCCAGGCTGGGGTGCAGTGGCACAATCTTGGCTTACCACAACTTCCGCCCCCAGGTTCAAGTGATTCTCCCACATTAGCCTCCCCAAGTAGCTGGGGCTACAGATGCACCATACCCAGCTAACTGTTGTATTTTTTTGGTAGAGATGGGGGTTTCACCATGTTGGCCAGGCTGGAGTCTACCTCCTGAGCTCAAGTGATCTACCCGTCTCAGCCTCCCAGAGTGCTGGAATTAGAGGCGTGAGCCACCGTGCCCAGCCTAGAAATGTTATTTAATCATTTAGTTTTGTTTCTCCTGTTAGTCTGTGAGCTTCTTGGAACTGGAAACCTTTATTTTTGTGTTTCCAGAATTTGATGAGATCATTTTGTTGTTGCATAAATAAATCCTTAATTTAAGGCTATTTTTTTTTACATTTTATATTGTAAAGGTAATATTGCTTATAAAAAATTAATATCCAAAATGTTCTGGGGTTTTTATAAAAAATTAACAGCCCAGTTAGAAATAAGGATAGTGATAACAGGAGGGGGATACTGATTTGGGAGAGGGCAGAAGTGGTTTCTGGGCTCCAAGGCTGTTGTGACTCATTACCTGGGTGTTAATAATATGGGAGTATTCTATTTGTGAAAAAGCATCATGCTGTGCATTTTATTATATGCACTAGATAATTTTTCAATTCTAAATTTAAAAGTTTTTAAAATTTTTGTGGGTACATAATAGGTATATATATTTAAGGGGTATATGGGATATTTATTTATTTATTTATTTATTTTGAGACAGAGTTTCGCTGTTGTTACCCAGACTGGAGTGCAATGGCACGATCTCGGCTCACTACAACCACCGCCTTCTAGGTTCAGGCAATTCTCTTGCCTCAGCCTCCTGAGTAGCTGGGACTACAGGCGCTCACCACCATGCCCAGCTAATTTTTGTATTTTTAGTAGAGACGGGGTTTCACCTTGTTGACCAGGATGGTCTCGATCTCTTGACCTCGTGATCCACCCGCCTCGGCCTCCCGAAGGGCTGGGATTATAGGCGTGAGCCACCATGCCCAGCTTATATTTATATATATTTAAGATAGAGTCTCTTGGCAAGGCACGGTGGCTCAAGCCTGTAATCCCAGCACTTTGGGAGGCCGAGGCCGGTGGATCGCGAGGTCAAGAGATCGAGACCCTCCTGGTCAACACGGTGAAACCCCGTCTCTACTAAAAATACAAAAAATTAGCTGGGCATGGTGGCGCGTGCCTGTAATCCCAGCTACTCGGGAGGCTGAGGCAGGAGAATTGCCTGAACCCAGGAGGTGGAGGTTGCGGTCAGCCGACATCGTGCCATTGCACTCCAGCCTGGGTAACGAGAGTGAAACTCAGTCTCAAAAAAAAAAAAACGTCTTGCTCCTGTCACCTAGGCTGGAGTTCAGTGGCATGATCTTGGCTCACTGCAACCTCCGGCTTCCAAGTTCAAGCGATTCTCCTGCCTCAGCCTCCCGAGTAGCTGGGATTACAGGCGCTTACCACCATGTCTGGCTAATTTTTGTACTTTTAGTAGAGACGGGACTTCATGTTGTCCAGGCTGGTCTCGAACTCCAAACCTCAGGTGATCCACCTGCCTCGGCCTCCCAAAGTGCTGGGATTACAGGCGTGAGCCACTGTGCCTAGCCTATATGGGATATTTTGATACAGGCATACAGTCTGCGATAATCATATCAGGGTAAATGGGGTATACAATTTAAAAATAATTTTTAGCTCGGTGTGGTGGTGCATGCCTGTAGTCCCAGTTACTCAGATGGTTGAGATGGGAGGATCGCTTGAGCCTGGAAGATTGAGGCTGCATCGAGCCAAAGTCATCCCACTACACTCTAGCCTGGGTGACAGAGTGAGACCCTGTCTCTAAATAAATAAAATAATTTCAAGCAATCCCATAAAAATATTTGGAAAAAAGTAATGTTCCTTGTTTCTCACATAACATTTTTCCATCTACCATATTCTCTCTGGAGAAAACTAATGGTATGTTAGGTTTTTTAAAACCTCAATATTGACTGGGTACGGTGGCTCACACCTATAAGCTAGGTGGATCGCTTGAGCCCAGGAGTTCAAGACCAGCCTGGGTAACATGGCGAGAGTCCATCTCTACAAAAAATACCAAAATTAGCCAGGTTTGGTGGGGTACACCTGTAGTCCCAGCTACTTGGGAGGCTGAGGTGGGAGGATTGCTTGAGTCCAGGAAGTCTTGGCTGCAGTGAGCCATGATAACACCACTGCACTCCAGCGTAGGTGACAGTGAGACACATGTCTTTAAAACAAAAACCCTCAATATTGTCATATTGTATATTGTTTTGAAATTTGTGTTTTTGTCTTATCTTGGAAACTTCTCCACAATGTCAGTAATACAGGATTCTTTCAGATTGTATAGGAATCCACATTTTGGTTGTACTACATTTTAACCAAGGCCCAATTGATGCCTATAGTTCCAAAGAAAAACATTCTTAAAGGGGAGACCCACAGAGAAGGTATCATGGCAGGTAAAGGCACTTTAGGAGGGTTAAGTATTTCACAATGTATGTTTAAATAAATTACAGTTGCTAAAATGCAGAAAAGTGCATCCTCCCACCTCAGTTTTATAACATGAGAACGATCATCAGACTCACAGAACTAGAAAGGGCCTCAGAAATCATTTCAACCAAACTTCTCTTGTTACAGTTGTAAGCCGCCATGCCTAGCCTATTTTATTTTTTGAGACAGGGTCTTGCTCTGTTACCCAGGTTGGAGTGTAGTGATGCAATCAGTGCTCACTGCAGCCCCAAACTTCTGGGCTCAAGTGATCCTCTCACTTCAGCCTCCCAATGAGCTGGGACTACTGATGTGTACCAACACACCTGGCTAATATTTTAATTTTTATTTTTATAGAGACAGAGTCTTGTTATGTTGCCCAGGCTGATCTTGAACTCCTGGGCTCAAGTGATTCTCCTGCATCAGCCTCCCAAAGTGCTGGAATTATAGATAGTGCTCTATAATTTTTGCTTGAAGAACTCCTTTTAGTATTTCTTATAGAGCAAGTTTTCTAGTGATGAACTCTTGCCTCTTAGAATGCCTAAAATCCAAAACACTGAGAATGCCAAATACTGGAGAGGATGTGGAGCAACAGGAACTCTCATGCATTGCTGGTGGGCATGCAAAATGGTATAGTGATTTGGAAAATAGCCTGCCAGTTTATTACAAAACAAACTCTTACCATATGACCCCAAAATTGTGCTCCTTGGTATTTACCCAAATGAATGAAAACTTATGTTTACACAGATACCTGCACATAGACATTTACAGTAGCTTTGGTATTTACCAAAATGAGTGATAACTTATCACACAGAAACCTGCACATAGACATTTACAGCAGCTTCATTCATAACTGCTAATACTTGGAAGCAACCAAGATGTCCCTCAGCAGGTGAACGGATAAACTGGTGCATCCAGACGGGACTGTTGTTCAGTGCTAAAAAGAAGTGAGCACCAGGCGCAGTGGCTCACGCCTGTAATCCCAGTACTTTGGGAGGCCAAGGCAGGTGGATCAGCAGGTCAGGAGTTCAAGAACAGCCTGGCCAAGATGTTGAAACCTCATCTCTACTAAAAATACAAAAATTAGGCAGGCATGGTTGTGGGCACCTGTAATCCCAGCTACTTGGGGGGCTGAGGCAGGAGAGTTGCTTGAACCTGGGAGTTGGAGGTTGCAGTGAGCCAAGATCGCGCAACTGTACTCCAGCCTGAGTGATAGAGCGAGACTCCATCTCAAAAAAAAAAAAAAAAAAAAAAAAAGCTATGAAAGACATGGAGGAAATTTAAATGTGTATCACTAAGTGAAAGAAGCCAATCTGAAAAGGCTGTATGCTGTATGACTCCAACTATATGACATGTGGAAAAGGCAAAACTACTGAGGCAGGGAAAAGATCAGTGCATTGAGGGGAAGGAGAGGGAAATAGGCAGAGTACAGAGAATTTTTAGGTTGGCGAAACTTCCATATGATACTATAATGTGTCATTACACATTTGTCAAACCCATAGAATAAGCCTGGGCAAGACCCCATCTCTACAAAAAAAAAAAAATTTGTTTGAACTTAGCTAGTCTCTTGTCCTCCAAGATGCCTCCTTGGTCCTCTTCCAAGTGTATTTTACTTTCTTTTCATTCCTTCTCTAAAGCTTTTTAATAAGCTTTCATTCCTGCTCTAAAACTTGCCTCAGTCTCTTTCTGCCGTATACCCCTCAGTTCAATTCTTTCTTCTGAAGAGGCGAGAATTGAGGTTGCTACAGGCCTGTACAGATTCACTGCCGGTAACTCGGATACCTGCCACCGAGTAGCCTATTTTGGTGCTGGGTAACTCGGATAACTTTCACTGCTAACATAGTTTGCTGCGTGACTCATACATTCCCTAGTGGACATGTATCCGTTTGATTTCTTTCTTTATTTTCATTTTAATGTAGTGGAGCGAAGCAGTATCCATTTAATTTCTTAAAGGAAAGTGTACCATTCCAGTCAAAGCCTTGGTAAAATAACCAGTTTTTTCACAATATCACTAATAGACGTCTTTCAGATTGCACAGAAATCAACCCATCAGTGGGACATGACAGAGGTGAAATTCTGCCCCTATCTCCCTTGGTCCTGGCTGGATACTGTTTTCACCAACCCACAGAGCTACCCTCCTGCCCTGGCAGCTAGCAAGAGGCCAAGACCCACAGAACAATAACAATCACCCTTCTGTTACTACATTTTATTAAAACAAAAACAAACAAAAAAAAAACAAACCCTGGGTGTGGTAGCTTATGCCTGTAATCCCAGCACTTTGGGAAGCTGAGGCAGGTGGATCACCTGAGATTGGGAGTTTGAGACCAGCTTTACCAATATGGAGAAACCCTGTCTTTACTAAAAATACAGAATTAGCTGTGCAAGGTGGCACATTCCTATAATCCCAGCTACTTGGGAGGCTGAGGCAGGAGAATCACTTGAACCCAGGAGGCAGAGGTTGCAGTGAGCTGAGATCGCCCTGCTGCACTCCAGCCTTGGCAACAGTGCAAGACTCCATCTCAAAAAAAAAAAAAAAAAAAAAAAAACATAGACAGGAATGATGGCACTCAACTATAGTCCCAGCTACTTGGTAGGCTGAAGTGGAAGGATCACTTGAGCCCAGGAGTTAGAGACTGCAGTGAACTATGATCACATCACTACACTTTAGCCTGGGCAACAGAGTGAGGCCCTGTCTCAAAAAACAAAAACCCACAGAGTATACAACACCAAGAGTAAACCATAATGTAAACTATGGACTTTGGGTAATAATGCTATGTCAGTGTAGTTTCATTATAGCAAATATACTACCAAATGTTGATGGTACATGCATGGGGACAGGGGCTATATGGGAATTTTCTGTACTTTTAAAATCAATTTTGCTAAGACTGCTCTGAAAAATAAAGGTGATATTTAAAAAGAGGAAAAGATATTTCTTTGAATAACAGAGCCTAAGAAAATGAAATTTTGGGAGATCTTTAGCATGAGTTCTGGATGAATAAAAGAGATCCTATGAATAGAAGAGATGACATGAAATTAGGAATTATCAAAAGGAGTGAAGAATATCCTTTTTTAAAAATTTTAATGAGTATTGTTTTGCGACAGTGTTTTGCTCTGTTGCCTGGGCTAGAGTGTAGTGGCACAATCATGGCTCACTGCAGCCTTAACCTCCTGGGCTCAGACAGTCCTCCTGCCTCAGCTTCCCAAATGGCTGGGACTATAGGCACATGCCACCACTCC